TCGCACAGTATATCAAACATATTTTTAGACATAAAAGGGCAGGATCGCTCATGCGCAGGTGTGCGAGTGGCATCTGTGCTATCCACAGCATATTTTCTAATGTTGCGAAGATGCCCTTTTAAAGTGGATTTATAAATTCCAGTTATAGCACAAGAGGTATAAATGTGATCTTTCCATTGTTTTTCATCAACATTTCTTAAGGAACGAATTAAGTTAAAAGACTTCAAACTGAACTTTGTTTTAGTAAAAATAAAGAATTTTCAGAAATAAAGTTCATGATTTCAAAACGAAATCAAAAAATTGATGTTAAAGAAAGACTTATTCAATTCAGCAACAAAGTTCACTGGAAAGAAGATATTCGTAAATCAAAAAATTAAAGGACGATTTAAGCTCTCAAACAATATAGAACAGTGGTTCCCAAACTTATTTCCATGACACCTCCTTTCATAAAAAATGTCATTTTCGAGTATACGTTGCCGTCCATTTATATATCAAATCAAATCAAGATATCAAATAATAATTTTAACAAAACCTTGATGAATTTTTCTTTGTGACGGTGCTAAAAAAGTTGTTATGACCCATAAAATATTATGTTTTTCAATCAAGTCGGATATTGACTATTGAGTTCATAACAACAACGGCTTTTGATGTCGTTTTTAGTTTATTCTAGATCTCTTCTTTTATAGCACCATTATATATCACACATACACTATCATCTCATCTGACAACATCGGTGTTTTCATCAGCATAAAAAGGCGAATTTACCGAATTGTAGATACCTTCTCAGTCTCACGCCCCCTTTAACAACGCCAACAACATTCTAAAATGTTACTACTTTCTGCAAGAATCCCGTATTTTTAGTACTTCTGGTTGTCGCGCATGGATTCATTGGAAAGATAATTTTATGTTCATAAACACTGATAGGAAAAAGTACGATATCTTCCACACATGAGGATATATATTCATACTTATTATTCGCCAGCTGCCACGTTGAATTCTAATTTTGACCCCCTAAACTGTCGAAATTCGCGGTGATAACATGGTTTTTTGGAATCAGCATACCCCAGTGAAATGGTACCAATCTAGAGGTCAAGCCAAGAAGAAACGGAAGGTTGAAACTTGAGGGGTAGCACTTACAAATTTAACAAAAGGTAAACAAGTTCTAAATCAGCATATGCATGATTAAAGCGCATTTTTGGTAATACAAATCAGTGATTTATTAGCGAAGTCTAAAAGTCACGAGTAATTTTGGCTGCGTTATTCGAAAGAAAATTCAAAGGGCTGTAACTTTTGAACTAGTGGCCCAATCTTCGAACTGTTTGAAATTATGGATTGTACAGGGCACATTCTATAAGAAAATTTTTTTCCCGGTCGATCTCAGACAATTTTTTTTCGGGGCTCAAAAAAGGCAGTGTATAACCTTCCTTTTTTTTAACCAAAAATCGACTACACCAAAATTTCTCGGGAAAACACTTTTTCTTATTAATTTTGGTGCGTAGAATCCAAAACAGTTCGTACTTTTTCGATCAGACTTCTCAATCAATAGTTATAGACTAGAAACCAATTTCGAAAGAAAATTCAAAGGGCTGTAACATTTGAACTAGTAGCCCAATCTTGGAACTGTTTGAAATTATGGATTCTACAGGCCACATTCTATAAGAACATTTTTTTCCGGGTCGATCTGAGACCATTTTTTTTTCGGGCCTCAAAAAAAGGCAGTGTATAACCTTCCTTTTTTACCAAAAATCGACTGCACCAAAATTTCTCGGGAAAACACTTT